AACTGTTTGAGTATATCAACCGCACGGATGATGAAGAAGTTCCATGTCAGCGATTGGACCTTCAACATGTGGAAGGGGAAATTTTTCCCTTTCCTCCTTGAAATTACAAGAGAAAGGGTAAAATCTTCTTCATCGTCCGTGCGGTTGATATAGTCAAACACTTTAGTTTTTCGCAACGAGAACTCTGTTGCTCTCTGCGCGTGCGCAGACCATACTAAGAATGCATTGACAGCACCATGCAGAAGTGCACATTTTGTTTTGAATGAAACTTAGTTATTTTCTCATTTTTTTTAGTTATGCTAGGTATAGTTACCAAATTCAATACTTTAGTTTACCATTTCCATAATGAAAATGTGAATTTATGTTTATTTATGCATATGAGATGGTCGAAAAAATGCTTCACTATAGACCGAATAGAGAAGCATTTTTTCGACCATCTCATTTGCATAAATAAATATAAATTCATATTTTCTTTATGGAAATGGTTAACTAAAGTATTGAATTTGGTAACTATACCTAGCATAGCTGAAAGCATGAGAAAACAACAAAGTTATAGTCGAAAACAAAATGTGCATTTTCGCATGGTGATATCATTGCGACCTTGGTACAGCCTGCGCACGCGCAGCGAGCAACAGAGTTCTCGTTGCGAAAAACTAAAGTGTTTGACTATATCAACCGCACGGACGATGAAGAAGATTTTACCCTTTCTCTTGTAATTTCAAGGAGGAAAGGGAAAAATTTCCCTTTCCACATGTTGAAGGTCCAATCGCTGACATGAGACTTCTTCATCGTCAGTGCGGTTGATATACTCAAACAGTTTATTTTTCGCGACGCGTCAAAAATGCTATTTTACAGGTAATTTTAATTAGTTAATTTACTAATTGCTTTTTATTTCTTATAGTCAAAAATGATTTTATTGGACACTTTGATACTCTAATTTTCCATTTTTGTAAAGAATGTGAAAAAATATTAATTTTTGTAAGAGAAACGTCTGTTACAAAAGTGCGATTTTAGTGCTTGGTTTGTTTACCTTTTGGTTTGTTTACATTTTACACCTTGGACATGCCCTTAAGTAGTGAATCCGATACATTTTTGAAAATGTCCGCCATATTGGATCAACCATTTTGAATTTTAAAAATTTGAAATCAGACTCATATACAGCGAGTAACAATTTTGGGACAAATCTGTCTGTTAATCTAGCCACAAATCTACTTGAGTCTAGACACAATATCGACAGTTTGAGCCCACCTGCACCATGACGTGTATACACGTCATAGACTGCCAAGGGGTTAAATAGAAAAAAGCGCAACATTTTCTTGAACTGTATGATCTAAGGAAGAGATTGACATAAAATAAACTGTTGTATGTAGTGGAAATTAAGGAAACTGTCAATCGAAAGTAAGCACAAGAATAAAAACTTCAACGAATCATGTAAAAACCTGTGAAAAAAAGTATCTTACAAATATTTTTGATATAGAAAACTATTTCTTTACGTTGCCGTATACCTATTAGTAAAAGAGGACATTAGAAATTATATAAAAATACAGAATAGAAATGAAAATAATTATTTTAGGAAAAATACGAATTTTTAATTTTAAACATATTTTCCAAATTTGTTGCATTACTAAGAGTACATTTTTTAACGAAAATCTTTAAAAATTTCAAAAATACTACTTTAAGGTGTACTTTGTATGACAGAGTAAGTACTTTTTTGAAATATGAAACTTTGTTTTTTGCCACTTTTGGTCTCCTCGGCCCACTGTGTCCCGGTATGAATTCTATTGGATACTCTATAGTCAAAAAACTTCCCACATCCTGTCATAATTTTCTACTTAAAAATTTTCAATTATCATCCTCAGACTGTGCAGCAGTCGCTTACATGGATATCTTGTTGAATTTTGGAAGAAATGAATCAGTCCTAGCTGTATCCCTCAACACAAAAGGTGCATATAACTGTGTCCGTCGCGACCAACTTGTTTACCAACTACAAATCCTTAACAAATCAAATCATCATCAAATAAAATCCCTCTCGTATACTAAATTTCATCAATTTTATGACTACTACTCGCAATCTATATTTCTCACCCAACGATTCAGATCCAAAAAAACTCATGTAGGCGTCTCGCAGGGTGCTGTTGTCTCCCTTATTATATAATGTCTACACAAACCAAATTATGCAACATCTAAATCCTAACACCAAAGCTACTATTTATGTAGATGACATCTTTTTCTTTACCTCTAACAAAGACATCAACGAAGGAATTGCTGAACTAAATGCATCTATTATTAAGATCACTACATGGTTATTCAATCTAGGTCTTAACATTTCCACTCCTAAGTGCAATTTTTGCATCTTCAATTTAAATTAACAACCAAATGATTCCATGTGACAACGAAATTAAATATTTGGGAATAATTTTTGATTCTCAACTCACGTGGAAATCTCACATCCTTTCCATCTCGACTAAAGCTATTAAATCTATCAACACCCTTAAAACCTTATCCAAAATCACATGAGGTGTTTCCTCAGAAACTCTCCTTATGGCATTTAAGGGTTTAGTCAGGGTATTGTTAGAATAGGGCTCCATTTTTTTCTGGTGTTGCCAAATATCTTCTTGACAAATTAGACAAAATACAATACTCTCCTTTAAGAGTAATTACAGGATGTATGTCTTCCACTCCTATCTATTTCCTACTTATAGAATCTGTTGAAATTCCCCTTAAAATTAGAAGAATCTATTTATCATCCAGATTTGTGATTAGAAACTGCTCCTTGTCTTAAAATCCTCTTTTCTCAAACCTTAAAACCCTAAAAACTCACATCTCCAACCGACAAAAACCTTTCAAACTTATTAAAAAAAACAAGCATTTACAAGTCCTTCATTACTCATCAAGACAAAATCAATTCCTGCCTTATTACAAAAAAACCTTTTTATTTTGGCTCAGCATGGGAATAAACATTTCTTCCCATTCTTATGAATGATAAAATTGTCTATGAAATAAAAAATTCCAATAATCTATCTGGAAAACTATCTCAATTTCTTAATTTCAACTTTCCAAACCACGTATACATATTCACGGATGGATCTTGCTTTCCCAATACCAACAAAGCTGGTGCAGGATTCTACATTCCTCAGAATGAATTCAGATTTGGCGTCCCTCTCCCTGGATTCATATCGTCAACCTCTGCTGAATTATCTTCTATTCACGCATCCATTAAATATGTAATTTCCAATAACATTTAGAACATTGATTTGTAGAGTAATGAGACAAGGCCTAAATACGGTTGTTTAAATGTTGTTTATTAAAATCCCAACTAGTTTCGAACCATATATGGTTCCTCTTCAGGGGATGAACAATTTTACAAATACATTATCCAAATATTGGACACATCATAAAGAGATTTCAAAGAGGATTAAGATATCCAATATTTGGATAATGTATTTGTAAAATTGTTCATCCCCTGAAGAGGAACCATATATGGTTCGAAACTAGTTGAGATTTTAATAAACAACATTTAAACAACCGTATTTAGGCCTTGTCTCATTACTCTACAAATTAATTAATACGGTCAAACAAACAAAAATTACTATTTAGAACATTGTTATTCTATCTGATTCTCTGTCTGCAATAAAACCTCTTTTTAATTATTTTAATTCTTTAAGCAACTTTTCTCCCCCTCTTGAAAATTTAGATAAATATATTTTCATGCCCACAGAAAAATTATCAATTGAATTATACAAATATTTCTACCAAATTAAGGGAAACTACGTTTAGACAACTCTTAAGGTTTTTTTAATATATATCAAATTTTATCCCACTTTTTCAATATTCACTCTTACTATTTTTGTTTTGCTGTTGACATTAACCTTTCTTTCCCTATTTCAATCTCTCTTTTTTCAAATCTTTTCCTCGCCAGAAGTAAGACAAACATGCATTAATCTCCGTCTAAGGCTGAAATTCCATCAGTGACTGGATTAACATACTCTTAATCAAACAATAAATGGAATTATATCCTCTCTTTACGACCCACCCACCTCCAATCATATCAGAAAGTCCATTTACAACAAACTCCATCAGAACACAGTATCATTTTATATCTTAATGATAAATAGTGTTTTCGTTGTACTCTTCCACATAATGATGCCCTTCTTGCAATTTAATGCAAGTAACAAGCATCTACAGAAGACTATTTGGCAGCTGATATATGGAAGGTGGAAATTTACGCCTTTGGGATCGTTTTTTACGCAACTTCTACAAATTACACTTAACATCCATCAATTTACAAACAGCATTTGAATCTCCCGCTATTGGACTTTACCGCTTTTCTTATGACGCATGCCTCGCTGCACTCATGCTTTGCTGTCCTATACATGCTTGCTGAACTAGTCAATCTCACAACTCATTGCTATCTACAATCAAAATCCTCACAGTAGCTCTATATGTGTTTTATCTATGGCCATTTGTTTAATCAACAGGCCAACTAAGAAGAAGAAGAAGTTATGTACCTAATGTCGATAAAAAAGATTCAATATTTAGACGTTTCTGAAAATGACCACATTTCATTGGTGTTTACCAACAATGTGAAAAACTAACCTGAACCCTGTCAGTTTTAATTAAGTTGCGTATCAAAACAAAACGACACATTCTCTCGATCCAACTGGGTCGAACTCCAATTCACCTAATAAATTGTTTGACTCAATGTAACTAATGACTCACATCTTATCGACTCGAATGTATTATTTAATAAAAAACATGAATCCTGAAGCCTGAAGCATTCAATTTAAAAACTTTAAAAAAATAAAAAAGTATTTAAATACTTTACCGCCCTCCCTTGAATAAAGAATGGTATTTTGTAATATGGAAAACATTACTAATGTAAAATAAAGTGTTCATTAATGAATTTTCAAAACATTCCTTACTATTTAGATAATTAAACTGCATTAGAATTAATGATAATTTTTAAAGATAAAAATGAAATTAAAAAAATTCATACATACTCTGTCTTCAGCTCCAGCAATCCCACTAGATATAGCTTTCAGTGTTCTCCACATATCGCCAGTTGACACATCATTTTGGTGTTTTGCTTTAATTGGTTTCGTGGTGAAATTTCTGGAATCAAGTGGAACGTTTGTAGCACCAATGATACGTCTTTTATCAAAAATTTTCCTTTCTGAAGGATTTTGATCAGAAACTTTATCTGTTGTTTTGCTAAAGATTTGTCCAAAAAATTTATTTTTATTTGATTCCTGAGTATTACAAGTTACAGTATTATTCTCCTTTAGTTTTCCACTTTTTTTCGCAGAAGCATTTTTCTCCTTTTTCTTATTATTATCATTTTCATTTTCTTTCTTTTCCGTCGCAATTAAAGGTTTTTCTTCCAAAATTGCATACAGAGTGGCTACAATGAACCTTGATCCACCTAGATCTTCTTCTACAACCTTAGTTTTGCCAAATTTAGATTTCGTTTCCTTTCGCAGATTAAAAACAAATTCTTCATTCCATTGAGGCCAGGACTCATTCTTTGTTGTTGTTTCATATTTTTCTTTACCTGGTAACAGTTTTACCTATTAAACAAAAATTAATTTTAAATATGAATAGAATAATTTAAATTTTCTTTATTTTATACTATATTTTTCTTTTTGATTTTAAAAAACTTCTCAGAAAAAATAATTAATAATAGGGTGGTTGCACCAGTGGTGGATCAACTGAAACAAAAATGGTAATTTGTGCAAACGCGTTTGTATTTAAATGAACTTCAAGTACCGGTAATTGTTAAGGGAGGTTGTAATAAATGTTAAGGGTGTGGATTGCTCGTCGGTCAGGGTTCGTTTAAAAAATTTTAACATTTTAATTACAGAATCGAAACTTCAAAATATATTTACAAAACACAAATAAAAGTACAAAGAATTGAATAAACTCGTCTACGCGGAGACGAGAAAAACGACGTAAACGTAATATCGCGAACATTAACGAAGTACGTAAAGCGACATAAATTCGTGCGTTAACCGTGATTTCGACGACGTTGACGATTAGTTTAATTTACAATAAAAAACATTAACGTGCGAGACGCGGATTTCCGTAAAAGAGTAACGCGGCGAGTTACAAAACGATAAAACGATAACATAAAGCAAACGCGGATTTTAGTATAGTAACGCGGCAAGTTACAATACAATAAACGACATTTCGGACAACGACGACTTTCGAAACGGCACCGACAGTTTCGCGGGAGAGAGCGTTACAGGACCAGAAGTAACACCTCTTTAGCCCTGTTTGCGGTAAAACCGCTTGTGGTAATACCACTTTTCTCTCATTGTGGTAAAACCACTTTGAGAGCTCCTACTGCGGTAACACCGCTTCGAGAAGTGAAGATCTCGGACCGTGCATTCGGGGTCCTCGGTTCGGTGCGTTGTTGGAGGGAGAAGATCTCGGTGGAGAGACATACTCGCTCGCTATTGGTCGTAGGCTGAGCGCACGCGAACAATCGGCACTCAGGAGCGTACAACAAATTTCTTGCGTCGAATATAACCATATTTTAAATACGATTAAATAATAATATTTTGATTTCGCTTCATTATCGTCACAAGGTGTTCTGATCATAAGGTAATTTGAAAGAAAATTTAAGTTTAAAGGTAAGGGAGCATTCATAAATGATGTCACGCAATTTTTCGGGATTTTAGACCCCCCCACCCCTGTCACGCAATTTTATGCAATTTCACATGTAAAAATACATTGTGTCACGTTTAGTAGAGACCCCCCCCCTACTCCCAAAAACATGACATCATTTGTGAACGCTCCCTAACAAAGCAGTTCTTTAATTACTATTGTGGTGATAGGAAACAAGAGTTTTCCTTAGAAAATATACCTTAGATTCGAAGGTGTTTAAAGGTATTTGGGCGAATCTATTATCTCATTTTACAATTCACAAAATCTATTAGTTTACAACTGAAACGTGCGTTAAATAAGAAGCTTAGGATAAAATGTATAAGTTATAAAAATAGAAACTTAAAAATATAAAATAACAAGACATTTTTTCTCTTATTGTATTCAAAAAGTAAGTGTTATAGCCGAACAGATGTAGACGCAATTAGAGTTTATGACGGTCAACCTAAGGATCCTTTACCTTGGGTACTTGACTGTCTTGACCAAACTTGAGACTACTTGACACTCCTTTTTTGTTAATTTCGAAACGCCCTCAAAATAGCAATCAACCAATAACATCTATATTTGTAAAACCCCACTACATTAATTTTTTGTAATTTCAAAAATGTACTTTTCCAAGGAAAAGAAAATCAGAATAAAAACTGATGTTAAACTGAAAACGTCTCTCAGATTTAATAAATGTTAAAATGTAATTGCAACCCGTGTCTTTTATCTTTTGGCGTGGCTTATTACTTTAACACACGTGCAAGGTGTTCATAATAAATAATAAATTCTTGCCTAAACATTCAACTAAAAAACATGGTTCTTCGAGCCGGATAGACTGCAAAACAAACGTTGGTCTATTCGAGACACGTATTGTCATATCATGATCGCAAATTAAGTGAATTTATATTAACACTCGCCGAGTTAAAGCATTATGCAATCCGAATCAAAAACGGAAAAAGTGAGCGTTAATCACAAAGTGTAAGTGCGTAATTCGAAATTCAAAGTTAAGAATTCGACGTGCAAAAAACTTCATTACGCTCGCGTAATTCAGAATTCAAAGTTAAAAGTTCGACGTGCTAAACTCGAGTGAGTGACTCAAAATTTAAGATTTACAGAACTCCAACTTAGTGAAGTGTGTGGACATATGTGAACTTAAATCAATCACACAAGGAAAATAGTAATATTTTCCGACAAAGTTTAATAATTAAACATCATAAGACTATGAAAATCTACAACACAACAAGTGAATAATCATCATCATCATCATCAAGGCAGTCAGGGAAAAGGGATCCTTCCGAAAGCAGCTGATCATTGGTCCACGAAAGCAGCAAATCTCGGCTAAACTACAAATTGTAAGGCACCTCAAGTAAGTCCAATATTTTAATGTGTCTTAATCCTTTTATCCTATCCCAACCGTGCAATTCAGTAAAATCTCAATCAGAATAGAAATTTTATTTAATCGGTTAATTAAAAGAAATATTAATAATAACATGCCTTTAAGCGAAGAAAAACTCGCTTCCCTAAAAAATTCGCGAATTCCGCGGGGGTATAGAGATCTTTTATGTATAGGTCAAATCGAAATTGTAGGACAAAAGACGAAATTGCAAAAAACAAGGTTAGGTTGGATAATTTCCGGAAAAATAACTGCGGAGAATATAAATAATAAATTCAACAAATGCATGTTTACACACACTTCTTAAAACACACTACACAAATACATGACAAAATTTTGAGAAATTGAGGAGTTACAAGACAAGAAATTTCTATCAGAAGAAGAATTCAAAGTTAAGGAACATTTTGATCAGAATACATTGAAAAAATGTTTAAACAAATCAAACTTGACAATCGCGACAGAAATTTGCAACTTACTTATCTTGTGGCGGGAAAATTCAAATGAAGAACTGCAAGTATTTGTATTTCCAGTAGTTTTATTTGGTTGTGCTTTAGCACCCTTTTTAGCAACAAGGGTCCTCAATCAATTAGCTGAGGACGAAAAATTTTTCATTAGCTAGTAAAATTTTGAAAGAAGACACTTATGTAGACGATGTTAATACAAGAACTGACAATATTCAAGGCGTGATAAAATTACAAGACGAATTAATCGGGATCACAAAGGCAGGTGCTTTCAATTTATGAAAATGAAGTTCCAGCTTTTCTGCATCTTGCTGTGTGATTACTACATTAGCAAGCTTTACACTTCACTGGTTAGGTCCCAGGACAGTTATCTTTCTTCTTCCTACTGACATTGCCGAAACTCTATTCAGGATCTCCTGGACATCTGTTGGCTCTGTAAGACAATCAAGATCGCAGATCTCCAAAGTTGTTAGCCGATCCACAATCTGTACCTTATGCAGGTCACCAATCACCCTTGTCATCTCATTGGTGAAGGTCTCCTTAGGGAGCGTTCACAAATGATGTCACGTTTTTGGGGGTAGGGGGGGGGTCTCTCCTTAACGTGACACAATGTATTTTTACATGTGAAATTGCGTGATAGGGGGGAGGGGGGGTCTAAAATCCCGAAAAATTGCGTGACATCATTTGTGAACGCTCCCTTAGCAGAAGAACCTCTAAGTTTGATAAAGGGGTCCCCCTTCTTGGTGGGTACAGCTTCCACACAAATCGTATTGCTTTTTCTGGGATCACCTCATCACGGATTTTTCCCAGAATTGCTGCGAACGTCGAACCTTCAGTCACCTTAACGATCATTAATGACCTCTTCTGTGGCCTTACTTTTTTCTGTGTTTGGCCCTTCGGCTTTTTTAAAGGTCCTTCATTCTTCTTTGAGTTTTTATTTAACTCAGGACTGTTCCTCTTCTGATTCTAACCTTCTAAGACGACAATTCCCTGACCGCATCAATTGTTGGTAGAACCTCTCATCTACTTTTTTGCAGCTTCGTGCTTCTCATCACAAACTTCAGCATCTTACTGGCCTCTTCCTCCATTCTTTGAATTCAAGCTGCTTCCTTCCTCCACAGCCTTATAGCTTGGTCTCGATCTTTATTGCAGCAAGAAATGTCATTAGCCAAAGCATTACTGAAGACAGAAATGCAGCTGGCTTGACTTGTAACGCTGCTCGTACTTCCTCGTCTATCTACTTTTTCCAAGACCATTCTTGGTACCACCAACGCGTTGTTGCCGTCCTGCATGCTTGGGCCACTAGTCACCGTTCCCACGCTAGACGCTTGACGATCGGAACCAGTGAGGGATTTATCTGAAGCATTACCCCGCAGGTACTCTTCCATGTTTTTACAATCGCTCATACTTGATGTTTGTCCCGTATCGAGGGACTATCAGGCCTTAATAGGGTACTACCATCTGGCCAAGATGGGTCCTGAACCGCCCCTGTTAATTACATAGACGTTATAGCATTGCCGAAGCATTGATGCGACGTCTATGATATCCGAGGGCACGTGAACATGTTCATTCGGACGTGGAGGTCGATGTGTCTCTCCAAGATAGTAAGAAGTTTCCACTGAGAGAATGCATCCTGGTATCTCTTCACAGAGTTTACCCTCTCTCACATTAACTTATTATCCGATTTAGACAATAAGGAAATAAAGGCGTCAGGTATACAATGGAATTGAGAAACCGACGAAATAACTTATAGTGTTAGAGCCAACGAATTTAATTCGAAAATCACGAAAAGAAACGTTTTGCCAAATATTCCTCAATTCTATGACCCAATTGGTTTATTAGGGCCGGTAATTATGGTCGCGAAAATAATCATGCAAGCCATATGGCAATGTAATATCGAGAGGGATGAGACTTTACCTCAAAACATATTTACAAAATGGAATGATGTAAAGAAACAATTGCCAATGTTAAATGACGTAGAATTTGACAGGAAAATTATAATACAAAAACAAATTTGTGTACAAGTTCACGGATTCTGTGATGCAAGGGAGAAAGCATACGGTGC